ATGGCACCCGGTGGCTGTTTGTGGTATAACGCCCTAAATAAAATCTCACAGGAACCTCAATTTTTTTCATATCAACTTCAAATTAGGAACATAACTTATTTAGACATAAGGCTTTAATTTTATACCAATTTTAGAGTAAAACCTGTTATGTAAAATATTTATTATATATAAAATAAAATAAAATGAATATAGTGCATTTTCTTTACAGTAAATTTAAACTACCATAACTTTTTGATACTTTAATTTTTTTGAGAACATTCCACTTTTGCGATAATCTGCTGATTTTCTTCTTTAAAAAGAGACCAACCTTATGTCTGTATTCCAAAGTGTTCATAAATGACAACAATTTAAGTTTGGATAGTGCACCTGCATGCCTATTTTAAAAAATGGGGGGGTGACAGTTAAGGGGTTAAGCAAAAACTGGGGGAGTTATGTAACACATACCTTGTATTCAAATAAAGAGCATTTCGCTGACTGTCTTTATTTTGACTGTCTTTTTTGCCTCACTGGGCAGGTCAGTAAGTATGTTTACATCTACCTCACCCTTATCATACTCCAACTCTTCTGAGGGGCATTGCTCAAAAGTAGAATTAAGAAAGCCAGGATAACAGAAAAGGCGCGGCTTGACCTAGTTTAATCAGCGCATCCTGGCTTAGTCCGTTGCACGTTTGCTGAGCCAGGGTGAGAACGTGCAGCTATGTCAAGCCAGGTGTATATAGTTGGGATAAGTGCACGTTCACGGCATTCTTAAACAGACCACGGGATCGATCTCAGAATCAATGATGCAAAAATGGATAAAACCGGTGCGGCATACTTCTCGCCAACTGAGCAACAGCTTCTAATGGAAACATATGAAGAGGTGAAACATATAATATGTAAAAAGGGAAATACAGCTGCTATAATAAAACAAAGAGAAAATGCCTGGCAGACAATAGCGGACCGATTGAATGCATGAGTAGTCCAAATAACCAGTGCTCCACTGAAGCCATCATAATTACAATTCAAGGAGTTATTTGTCATTTCCACAAATTAACAGTTGTACACTTTGCCTTAAATGTGACCAGTGGACATGCATGTTACTCATGCAAACACATGTATGATTAATTGCAAACACTTATCCACTATGCGCATCCATCCATCCATCCATCCATCCAAAAGAACAAGCATGTCTGGCCAAAAAAGGACCTGGCAGCAAGTCAAGATTAAGTACAAGAACATTTTGCAGGCTGGTAAGTGACTTTATGGGTGATTTTTTTTTTTTTTACAAATTAAGTGAATAGTGTCTGCTGACATATTTTATTGTCTGTATTGATTTCAGCATTAAAAAAAAATTACACGAGTAACTGTGAAACGTTATATAAAATGGCTAACTTAATTAAATATTCTCAACTAAATATAATTTCAAGGTTAATGAAATCCGCAATGCTTCATTAATTGTTAAAACCAGGTCAAAATACAACGTGCAAACTTCAGTCAACTTGTTTTTGTTTTGTTTGATGACACCTGAGGGGCATTGCTCAAAAGTAGAATTAAGAAAGCCAGGATAACAGAAAAGGCGCGGCTTGACCTAGTTTAATCAGCGCATCCTGGCTTAGTCCGTTGCACGTTTGCTGAGTCAGGATGAGAACGTGCAGCTATGTCAAGCCAGGTGTATATAGTTGGGATAAGTGCACGTTCACGGCATTCTTAAACAGACCACGGGATCGATCACAGAATCAATGATGCAAAAATGGATAAAACCCGTGCGGCATACTTCTCGCCAACTGAGCAACAGCTTCTAATGGAAACATATGAAGAGGTGAAACATATAATATGTAAAAAGGGAAATACAGCTGCTATAATAAAACAAAGAGAAAATGCCTGGCAGACAATAGTGGACCGATTGAATGCATGAGTAGTCCAAATAACCAGTGCTCCACTGAAGCCATCATAATTACAATTCAAGGAGTTATTTGTCATTTCCACAAATTAACAGTTGTACACTTTGCCTTAAATGTGACCAGTGGACATGCATGTTACTCATGCAAACACATGTATGATTAATTGCAAACACTTATCCACTATGCGCATCCATCCATCCATCCATCCAAAAGAACAAGCATGTCTGGCCAAAAAAGGACCTGGCAGCAAGTCAAGATTAAGTACAAGAACATTTTGCAGGTTGGTAAGTGACTTGATGGGTGAAATTTTTTTTTACAAATTAGGTGAATAGTGTCTGCTGACATATTTTATTGTCTGTATTGATTTCAGCATTTAAAAAAAAAGGCTCATGTATCTGGCACGGGGGGTGGCCCTCCAAACCAAGACTTCATCACAGCAGAGGAGCTGGCCCTGGAGTTGAATAAAGGGAAGCCAGTGATGGAAGGGATCCAGGGAGGGACAGCCACTGACTCTGGCCCAGCAAGAGAAACTGGCCTCTTCATACAAAGTACATTATTGCCATTCTACTGCACATGGAAAACAATCAAATATTTAGATTTTTTTATGTGGACTGTCTGACTTTGCCTTCCCTTGCAGTGTCTGGTAACACACTTACACTTCTGGAGCCACCAGACTATGATCCGCTGGTGAGTACTCTTTATTAAAATCATAGGCTTGGCACATCCTGTCAAAACTATCAATACAAGTTCTATTGAATATGGCAGAGGGAAGGCACATCTGCAGCAGTGGAGTGCACTTCTGCCGATGATGAGACGGTGTCGCTGGACTCCAGAAGGCTTGAGGTGTCATGTCAATTTTGTGTACATTTTTAGTCCATAATGGATAAGTAGTCAGCAATGTGATTCTAATAGAACATATATTTTTAACAGGATCCAGACACTGTGCAGTCTGATAAGCAACCTGCTAACATAGTGAGTATTGCCTAAAGTAAACCTACATTATGCACAAATCCCGCTGTGCTAATTGATAGGTGTTTTACAGAATTCACAAACTGTCAGACGTCTCTACACAATGCATCTTAAGAGACAGATAGAGCTGGCAGAGGGCAAGATCGAAGTGAACAAGAGAAAGCTGCAGGACATGGACCTTGAGATGGAAATTAAACGCAAGACACTGAGGAAACTGGACTTGGAAATCCAGAAACTAGAGAGAAGTAAGTGATTTCAGTTCACACTGCAACCATGACTGCACAATGTATTAATCATCGTTATTTTTTCTCTCAAAAGCTCCAAGCTGACAAGTGATGACAGCAAAATAAAAAAAATACAAAAACATTGTGGTCTTGTACCTTTTTCATTAATGTCCAGTACACTATATAGTTATTGATCCAGTGAATTGGAACTAGAATTTGGGAAGATAACCACACAGTGTGTGCTACTAATGTCAAACAAAATGCATGCACACATGAAAGAGTGACATACATTATGCTTTATTAAAGGATAGGCGAAATCAAAACAAAATTAACTGAAATAATTTGCTATATATTGTTCTCTGACCAGTCTACCATTTATGTTATCTGGGAAGATGGCAGCATTGTCCCAGACAATATCCAAAGCAACTCTGGGAGCCCTTTCTTTTCTTAGGCTGGCAATATTGTGCAGCACTGTGCAGGCAACAGTCACGTCACAGGCTCTGTCTGGGGAGACCCTCAGGTGGTGCAGGCACTGAAATCGTGATTTTCAGGAGGCCGAAGGTCATTTCAATTCGAGCCCTCGTTCTGGCATGGGCATGGTTGTAAGCCTGCTGTGCTGGAGTTTGGGGGTCTGCAAGGGGGGTCAACAGGAACGTCTCACAGGCATAGCCTTTGTCTCCTAGCAGCACACCAGAGAACTCACCTGAGAATACAAAATATTCCCTTATCTTGCTTTTGTGCAATACCCCTCTGGTGTTTTGTCATTTATATTCATTGCTGTTTTCTTATGTAATATCTAAACAAAAAGCATCCCTTCGAGAAATATTCGAGAATATTTCCCTCATTCTTATGTTCCATGTGTAGGTTATTTGTATGCAAGACAATGTGAATTTATGTTACCACACACGGCACAGAATGTGTTTTTCCTCCCAGATTAGTACCGCACATTCTGTTCTGTTTTGCTTCCTGATGACTGGTTAGCCTGCATGAACCCGCCCTCTCACTCCATAAAAGCAAGTTATATTTACGCACTGAAGCACACGCACACGCACGCACGCACGCACACACACACACACACACACACACACACACACACACACACTTTTTGTGGTTCGTTTGGCTTTATCTAACTCTTGATAAGTTACTTAGACTCACACACAATGCAAAGACATTGATACTAAATGACAGAATTAATGGAAAGTATATTTTTTAATACATTTAATGTAAAGTTCATACATCTTACAATTAGTGGATATTTCTATACATTTTAGTGGCACTCAAAAAAGACATAATCATAAGAACTTTACATTCTAATATCTGTTAAATGTTATCTTGGACTAATTTGAAATGCAAACATGCATTGTATGTAGCAAATCAGGCTAGCTTTTATAAATCTTTGTGAGAACATTTTAACATATTTAAGATTGCATTTCAAAAATCTCACATTGACTTACATTGATAAACTTCACAATTTTGATTGAATTGTGATTTTTCTCATCTGATTTTCTTATCCTGTATTTAAACTATAGTGCAAAGCAGCAAGTGCTAACTTGTTTGGTCTTGGAAGTATTTTTCTCCCTTAAAAGAGACTGTTTAGCATGCTGCAAATGTCCCTACTACCTGACAGATTACTGAAAAAGGTGTCCTGAGAAAAAAACTGTATGACCGTCTGAAGCTGTTGCTTAGTCAGACGACTTTGAGGTGCTTTCTGCCAAACAGTTATTTGTTTAGGGTTTTCTGACATCTTTGGAGGATAGGGTTTTTAAATGGAGGTTGCCATCTTTGGAAAAGCATTCCAGTCAAAATTTTGAAATAATTAATGCTTTTTTATGTTTTTGAAATAAGTCTCTCATGCTCACCAAGGCTGTATTTATTTTTATCAAAAAAATACAGTAAATCACTAATATTGTAAAATGTAATTAAAATGTTTTTTTTTATTATTTTTTTTTTATTAATTATTTTACAACGTAATTTATTCCTGTGATGGCAAAGCTGATTTTTTAATAGTAATATTTCACAATCTTACTGTTTTTACTGTATTTTTTATCAAATAAATGCAGCTTTGGTATGCATAAGAGACTTCTTTCAAAAACATTTAAAAAATCTTAATTGTTCCAAACTTTTGTCTAGTAGTAATCATGCTATTTCTATGTATAGTTTGCAGAACAGCACTTTTACATTCATGGAATACCCATATGACATACTACATTTACCAAAATATGCAATAAAGCACACTGTATACTGTATCCCACAAAGCAATGCGTGCACTTGGCCTTCCATTTCCTATGTGTTAAATGAACCAGAAGCAATATCAGCTGTGACAAGACTGAACATGGCAAAATGTAAAGAAAATGATTAAAAGCACAAAAACAACTGTATTTTATTTTAAAGCTCTGGACACCACTTACATTCATCAAAAAAATCAAAGAACCAAAGAAAAAACAAAAAAGCTTACATAAAATGTTAATCCTTTTACAGCTTGAAACTACTTCTGTTAGGACATGCAAATAGTATAGTTTTCTTTCAGTTCTTTGTTACTCTTAAAGAAACACATCACATTTCTAAGTTATAGTCTACAGTTTCCTGTTATTGGCGCCATAAATGTGGTTCTATGTACCTACTGGTTATAACAGACCACCATTACCTCTCGCTCTTTCCAATGCCAAAAAGCAGGTCCGTGCATTCAGGCGAATAAAGACACTTACACATGCCATGTTATTCCACTTCCCAGACGTTTGTATTAAATGTACTTAAACTGCAGGCTAAAAACAGACGACGCGTGAGCGCGAGACCATGTTTGTCAAGTTCAGTACCACTTCTTACCTCCGTTGTGCCGATGAGTCAGTCAACAGAGTCTCTACCACACGTGCCACTGTGAACTAGAACATTTAGTTCTTGACGCGCGGACCTACTGAACTGAGAAACCAGTGGAAAAACGAGCAGGATTATTCTCTTGACTGTAACCAAAAAAATCGACGTTATTTGGCGACAAGGTGATACTCCTATAATCACTCCTTATTGCATGCTATTCCTTTCAATCGTTTCCATCCACAATCCTCATGTCCTATCTGAAAATATGTAACATTTGGATACCATTAGGCTGTGACCATAAATGCTTCTTATGTTTCTACTGCTGGAAGATGAAAATACATGTAGAACCTTGTATGGACTGTCATCTACGTAATTTGTAGATTATATGACAAAATAGGAATTATGTGGAAAAAAAACATTGCAACAATTGAGTGTTTTGCATTACAAAACAGATTATTCATATCCTTTATATGCATCTGTTAATGGTTGGTGAATCACTGTGTTTTGAGAAATAATCTAGTAATTAGATCTAATCTAAATAATCTTACTATGACATTTTATATAAGTTTATCTTAAAGCATGATATTTCTTTTAAAACTGCCCTGTGGATGATGGAAAGTGCATATAAGTGCATATACCTATACCTTTGTGTAGGCTATGTAGAAACTGTATACATATTTTGGACATACTACCACATTATTAAATTGTGGAGGTTTCTGATATTACAGCATACTATTTTCCATGCACCTTTTTTGAGAATGTTTGCGCACAAATTGTTTAGTAGCTAATTTAAATCTCACATATTAAACATGATTTATTGTATGCAAATTAGGAAGTGTCCAATATTTCACCTATATGCTAAAAATTAAAATCTGAATACTGCAAAGATACTAGGAATTAAGTAACAGGTTGTGATGATCCATTAATTAATTAATTGCTCTGTAAATGCATTTTTTGTTCTTTTTTTCCCCAAATTGACAGATGAGTCAAATTTCTATTCAGTGGTTAATAAACCACAAACCACAGATCTTTTTAGATCTAAACCTAAAAATATTACTTCAGTACATTAATGAGGTACATATATTAAAGTTCTTTAGAACCCTGTTGTTAGTAAAGCTATAACTGTTAATGACTAATTTGTTCGTTTTGTTAGTAACAACTGGAGTGAATTGTTCTGAAATAACAGTTTCATGTGTGTTGAGGCAAGTTGGAGCTAAACTCTGCAGGACACCGGCCCTCCAGGACCGAGTTTGGAGACCCCTGACCTAGATTAATGGGCTGTTCATCTTTTGATAGAAGAAAACCATCATATTCTGAATGTCCTCACCACAAAGCCCTCAGTAAAGAATAATGTCTATATAATAATTTCTTTAACAGTTGATGTCTGTAAATTAAAAACATAACCACAAGTGTTTTTATTTTTCTACATTTAATTTTCATGTCAGAATCGTAAGAAAACAACAACTAAATATTGATTAAGAATAAAAATGAACAGAGTGATTTTTATCCGATAGATTATATGATCAGAAAACACAAACAGGAAAAAGGTCAAACAAGTTTACTCGGAGTGTCCCCACTTGGACCTTGCTGGAAGTGACATATTGGTCTGAATCCTTATCCTTGAATGCCCCCCACTTGTTTGCTTGTGCCATCCACACTGAGCAGTTTCACATGATATGCTCTGTTGCAGATTCCTGCTGCTAAGATACCAAAATGAGGTAGCATTTTGTTCTACTTTCTTCCCTGCTTGAGTACTTCAATGCCTAGATAATCCTGGAAAAGCTGCAGGCCTGTTGACATATTAGAGATCTATGATTTCAGTTCATTACATTTTGGGCACATTTGAAAATGTTTGTCTCAATCAAATCAATCAAATAAATGAACTAAACAACATTTATCTATCTCTGATATTGTATCTCCACAAAATCTTTAATAACTTGAACCTCTTAAACAGAGCTTATCTTTCAATCACATCATGTGCCTGGTTTAACTGAAATTAAAAAAAAAAAAAAAAGGCTTGAAAAGGGAAATCAATCCCTTTAAATTCAGACAATCATGCATGGCACCTATTATGTTCCTGCGGACACCTTTTGTTGCTCTATGAATGAGCCAGGGACATTTTGTAACAGTTCTATAGAGGCCTTTGAGGCAGATTGTTGCCAGTGTTGATGTTATTCAGTATTTGGCATGCTAACTTGAAAGGCTGGATTTGATTTCAACATATCATCATGACATGGAATTATTCTGTGTAGAAATGAAATGTAAATAATCAAATAAGATATTAAAACACTGATTTATTGAAGATGCTGTTCAGCTTTAAATGTATAGTATTAGAAATTTCTAACAGAATAGACAATGCATGATCTTAACATTTCTTTACAGAATAATTTGTTTTGGTTTTAACTGAAAAAAAAATAAAAACGGTACAGTAAAACCTGTTAACTGTAAGTTACCTTACAATAAAAAAAACTGATTTAACAGACAATAAATGCAATGTTACTGTAAAATACTATATAAAATGTATGGAAGCAAAAACTATTAGCATATGTTTTATGGTGAAAATCTATATTACATTCAACAAAACAATCCATGTACATAGGACTTAAAAAACAGTAACATTTATAGTAAAGTGTTGTTAAAATTACAGTAAAATAACTTTCCCAGAGGTCCCAGCATGAGACTTCACATTTGTTAATATTTTATTGAAATAATAAAGTTTGTAATGATTCTGTAACCAGTTTTATATATATATATATATATAT